CTGGCATCGCTACTAGGAGCAAGGACGCTACTAGGGGCTCCTGGCATACTAGGAGCAAGGACGCTACTAGGGGCTCCTGGCCTTACTGCTAGGAGCAAGGACGCTGCTAGGAGCAAAGGACATCGCTACTAGGAGCATGTCACCGACGATCACATCGTTAAAGAGTCGAAGAAGCATCACTGACGGGTATACAGCATGTTTGCAAGAGATTTGTGATGATTCTTGAGTGCGGCTTGGCTTGTTCTGCACTTTGTGTTTGTGGCATCTTTCCGCAAACATGTTCTTTTCACACTCACTGGCATCTGTGCAGGAACTTCGTTGGATTTCTGAAACAGAGAGATGACAGACGTTTTTTCTTTATATCCTAAGGACTATGACGTTCATATAGAATTGGCCCATGGGCCCTGGCACCGCTTTGAAACACGAGTGGGAGTCGCAGACGAGTTTTTTTCAAGGTGGCCTTCCAATTGCCGTGCAAAGCACTCTGGCAAGAACATGAGAGCTCTTGTGGTATGGCAGCCAAAAACCACAATCAACATCTTTGAACGAAGTGCTTAGGATTAGATGATTAGACTAAAGCGATGCTGAAACCATATTTATTCATTTTTGTTAATCATACCATGCAATCTGCAAACTCCAAGGTTTCAACTCATCGACGAAGATGAGAAGTCTTTGCTGTGGGAGTCCTCTGAGACCCTAGAGCCGTGGGCACCTACAGAGCTGTGTTCCGTGGTTTTGGGTGATCGAGGTGGGAGATCGATACTGCACATTGTTCATCATGCCACAAAAAGGAAGAACATGGAAGAACCATGGAACGCCACAAACAAGGTGTACCATTGAAAGAACATATTTTCGAGTTTGTGGAGAGAGAACAAGGCCTAAAGACGGTTAGAGACCTGCATCAGGTGCTCGACACCTTTGCTTGCGAGTGCGCTGTCCCTCTCCGCCTGACGGCGCCGTGTGGATCGAGCCGGCAGTGACCTGTGCCCGGCGGCGGCGGCCATCACCTGCTTTGCCTTGGGAAGAGTTCTTTGCCGGAGAGATGCTCTTAGAGGCAAGGTGGGGGCGCGAACAGAGAACAAGGGAAGATTTCTGTATGTTGGAGAGGGGCGCCGTTCCTCTCACCGAAGGCAGAGAAAGACACAAACACGTTTGAAGAAGAAAAAGAAGAGGAAGAAGAAGAAGAAAAGAAGAAGAACTACCTTAACTGGTCTTGACGGGTCTGACAGAGAAGTTGCTGTGATGGCTCAGCGAGCCTGAGGTGGTCTCTCGGCTTGCTTGCCGAGACGTGGCACGGGTTTTGGCTTCGAGCAAGGCTGTTTCGCAGATGCAGCAGGCGGCCTGGCATTGTGCCTTTGCACATAGCTTCCGCCAAGCATACGTTCGGCCCCTTGGCATCCTCTGCCGTTTGAAAGAGTCCATCAGCCCACCTTGCTGACACGTAGCCAAAACAATCGGGCATTGAAGTCTAAATTCTAAATCAATAGGCTACTTAGTCCGGTGGCTTATAACGTTTCCTCAGATCATTCTGGCCCAACCCTGAGGTATTTCTTGGGACCCCTCAGGAAGCAGCCATCCACTGGCATTCAATGGGTTGGAGGCGGGACAGTCGTGCTGGCAGGGTGATTGTTCTTAGCATGGTCAACACGAAGCAGTCCTTTCAGAGAAAGGCCTCCAACATAAACTGTCGTTCTGTCAAACCATTTGCTGGGACGTCTATTTGTTTCAAGGCAGTTGCGCAAGTCTTGTGGCTTGTGGGCACTGATGTAATGAATGAAATGGAGCCGAGCGATACAGTGATGCCAGTCATTGCCAGCGCTACTTTCTCAAACAGCCAGGAGGCAGTGCAGCCCCGACAGCCCAAAATGGCACTTTCACCTTCGCACCCGGCAGCCGTGTTCGGGCGGCCGTCCGGACACTTCATCGACCTCCTGAGCGGCCAAGTGTGCCGCTTCGCTCTGGTCGTGGAAGCTTTCCACTGGGAGCCTTGGCAGCGTTGCTTCAAGGTAACTTGCAGGGCTGGGAGACCTCCAATCCAATAGTGATGGCCCCGAACCTACTAGCGACGGCCTCCACCCTACTACTGTAGCGATGGCCTCCACCCGACTGTAGCCATGGCCTCCAACCCAATAGCGATGGCCTCCAACCTAAGAGCGATGGCCTCCAACCCCCCAACCGGTGGCCCCCAACCTACTACTGATAGCCTCCACCCAAGTTGGTCGATTTTGATCCAAGGACTTGCAGCTTGCTGCCACTCTTGTCGTGCTGGTGGGGGCGTGCTTCTGCCACAAGGGGCCTCAGAGGTCTTTGATTGGCGACAGATTTGCCGAAGGTTTTATTTGGCGCAGCGGCTTGTCCAGTGATTCTATGACAGCCATGGAGCCCCGTATTTATGGGGTTTACATTTCTCATCATTTTTCCATCATTCTCCTCACACTCCGTGTCCACACCGTGTCCACACCGTGTCCACACCGTGTCCCACAGGTCTCCTCAAATTGCGCAGAATGAGGTTACCTTGCGCCAGTGTCAATTTCCAGCTCTTCAACTGCACAACGCCCAACGGCTTTGTGAAGGATTCGGGCGAGATGCTGCATGTGCCACGTGCATACCACGGGCAAAGCCCTCCCCTCCGCTGTGGCTGGAACATCCAACTCGCTGCTGTTCACCTGGCATTTTTCAAGACCATATTTTTCATTTCCCAACCTTTGGACAGACAGGTCGGGAGGCGCCTTTTTTGATCTTTTTTGATCCTTTTATCCGTCAAGGAAATCGTATTTTTTACGGTTCGTCCTGATCCTGTTGACCAGTAGTGTCACCAGTTCTGGCTCTTTCAAACCGTTTCAAACTATGGTGAGCAGTGAAAACACGTGATTCATTATGACTCCATCAAGCGATTCACTGCAATCTTTTTAAATACCAACTAAATTAAGACCAACTGAGATCGCTAGTAGGGTGGAGGCCATCGCTATTGGGTTGGAGGCCATTGCCTTTATTTTTAATTTTTTCTACTTAAGACCAACTGAGGCTCATTTCCAGTCTCAACCTTCTGCCGTTGTGCCACATCGCTCTCCCTTGGGTGCTGCTGGTGTGCCACCCTCGGTCGCTACGGTGCGGGGCACTGCAGGGCCGGAGCCCCTGGCGATGACACCACTGGTCTCGGCCACTTGGACACCGAGAAGCTGCGCTCAAAAGCAACGAAGGGAGGAAAAATTATGAGCTAAGGATGAGCTAAGTCAGCTGAATTAGATAACTCATGAAAGGAAGAAAGGAAGTTGCTTCGAAAGGAAAGGTTCGGTCAAAGGAGAAAACTGAAAAAAGACAAAAAACGGAAAAGGCCTTGAAAGGGCCTTCGAACATGAACGTTGAGTTAAAGTCAACATGAATACAATACGATCTCTTGTCATGTCTTGTTGTTAAGGCTTCTTTTTCAAGGCCTTTATATAGAGCTACTAGTAACAAGTGCCACGCTAGTAGTAACAAGTGCCTTACTAGTAGTAACAAGGTTCGCTATTAGAAACAATAAAAAGAATCTAATTAGGAAGGCCTTCATTTAAAGATCTCTATATGAGGAGGTTATGAGGTCTCAAGGCGACGTGTCTCTCCTGAGCGACGCAGGAGAAGGACTCTGCAGTGATTCTGCCGATGGCCTTGCCTGGGCAACTGAAACTGCAATGGACTCTGGAAGTCGATCCTGGCAGATTCTCATCGAAGATGCAGAGTTTAGCGACAAGAGAATAGAGTGGACAAAATTAGGAAGGTGATGGCCTTGTTATTGAAAAAAGAAGATCCAAAAGGAGGCTTTCTTACAGAATCCCTTACCTTCCGTGTTTCCACCGCATTTTCCCTAGATTATCACAACGCGTTCTATCACTTTCCGGAGTTACAATGGGTGCGGATCACATGCACAATATTCAAGACACATACGGGGGAACTCACGCATTCCCGAGTCATTTGCCTTGACTGCCTCGTGCACGGAGTGCATAACATTCATTCCATGTCATGAGGCAAAAGCAACCAAAAATGAGATCATGCAAAGCACCAGATTGCAAATCATTTGTTGTAGTTAGGATACATGAAGGCCGACAGCTGATCAGATGGTTACTGGCACCAGATTTGTCATTTTTTGTCGGACGGTGTGAAATGGGCATGCATGCCTAAGTCCTATCATGCCAGAACCCCAGAGCGTTTTCAATACCTAGGACTAGGACTTAACCTATCCACCCCCCTGTTTTGCTTGGAGCCTTAACTCCGAAGTGATTTGACACTTAGTGTAATAGGTAGGACGTTTCATGATTCTTTTTTCCAACGCGTCGGTCTGACAATGTCTTTTCACACATGTACCTGCTTGCATGTCATCTTGGCGATCGATTCCACAAGCAAGTAACAAGAAGCTACTAGGAGCAAAGGGCATCGCTATTAGGAGCAA